AGTTAAGAAGGTACAGGAGTTTAAGTATTTGGGGTCAACAGTCTAGTGTGATGGGGAGTGTAGGAAAGAGGTGAAGAGGCGAGTGCAGGCAGGTTGGAGTAGGTGGAGAAAGATGTCAGGAGTGTTGTGTGACAGAAGAGTGTCAGCAAGAATCAAAGGAAAGGTGTACAAGACAGTAGTGAGACTAGCTATGTTGTATGGGTTAGAGACTATAGCAGTGAGGAAAAGACAAGAGGCAGAGATGGAGGTAGCAGAGATGAGGATGTCGAGGTTCTCTTTAGGAGTGACCAGGATGGACAGGATTAGGAAAGAGCACATCAGAGGGACAGCTCAGGTTGGCTATTTTGGGGAGGTTAGAGAGGCCAGATTGAGATGGTTTGTAAATGTGCAGAGGAGAGATAGTGGTTATATTGGTAGAAGGGTGTTGGAGATGGAGCTGCGACACAAGAGGTCAAGAGGAAGGCCAAAGAGGAGATGGATGTGCTAAAAGAGGACATGAGGTTAGCTGGGGTGACAGTAGAGGACGGTGAGGATAGAGTTAGGAGGAAACAGATGATTTGCTGTGGTGACCCCTAACAGAAACAGCCGAAAGAGGAAGAAGAAGAAGAAGAAGATCTGTGTAGAGGTTGAACAATATGAAAAAATAACTTGAAGTAATGCACTGCCAATCTGTACGTGTATGTGTGAACTGGTGTAAGTTTCAGCAAAAAGAGGAGTAACATGTTCTACTCAAAATGATATGTTCAAGAAAATGATGAAACCAAATGTAGTTGTTTCTCTAAAAAAGCCAGCAGATGTATAAGTTCTTGAGATATAGTTTAAATTTCAGTGCTTATTATTCAAAGCGAATACTTTTAACTTCAGTGTTCTCACCATCTATTGGAAATCACTCTATTTCATCTGAACAGGCCAGCACAGGCATCCAGTAACCGTAGTGGCCCTGCAGATGTGTAAATTCTTGAGACCTAGCTTATTGTTCAGTGCTAATGCGTATACCTTCAATCGTCTCACCCTTTGGGAAATCACTCTATGTCAACTGAGACCTAGCTTAAAGTTCAGGGCTTATAGTTCAACGCTAATGTGTATACCTTCAATCTTTTCACTATCTAGTGGAAATCACTCTATGTCAACTGAACAGGCCACCGCATGTTACCTCTAACCTTAGTGGCCTAAAGGAATAGGCCCTAGCTTTCTAAGCTAGGGATTGTGGGTTAAAGTCACATTTGGGGTGTCGTACTGGGTAGAAGTCCTGCAGATGTGTAAATTCTAGAGAAATATCTTATTGTTCAGTGCTAATGTATAAATATATGATGGGGATATTTATTGACCTAAAAAAAGCATTTGATACAATCAATCATGAACTATTATTGGATAAGTTAGAGAAATATGGGATCAGAGGAATGGTTTGGAAATGGATCAGAAGTTATCTGACACAGAGGCGTCAATTTGTGAAGTTGGGTGAATACCAATCGAGTGAGCTTGATATTGTATGTGGAGTGCCTCAGGGCTCTGTTTTGGGACCTAAATTATTTATATTATACATTAACGATATATGTAAGGTTTCTGAAATTGTCAAAGTGGTTTTGTTTGCTGATGATACTACCATTTGGGCATCTGATGAAAACCTACAGCAACTCGTGGGAAGGGTTTCAGAGGAATTTGTGAAGATAAAGAAATGGTGCGATAGCAACTTACTATCTTTGAATTTGGAGAAAACTAAATATATGGTATTTGGGAATCGTAGACCACATAATGAACTTCAATTGAAAATTGGGGGTGCTAACATAGAACGAGTATATGAAATCAAATTTCTGGGTGTCATGGTTGATGACAGATTCTCCTGGAAATCTCATATCAGATATGTTCAGCATAAAATAGCTAAAAACATATCGATA